GTGTTTTCATGTTGTCAACCTAGATAACAACTGAGAGAGTAGCTCTCAAACTAAATGAGTTTATTTGGGAATATCAAGGGATTATAATCTGGAATACACATGTCCTGAGGGCTCATAGGAGATTGAGGCAAGGGAAACCTATAAGGCAAAAGGGAGAAGTTCATGTAAACTAAATTCATTTTGAAACAAAGTCCATTCATCATAGAGGCTCCTTGCAGGAGCTTGCCACTACTCAGTAACACTGGTTGCTGCTGCGGAGAAGCCTTCTTGGAAGCAATTTATCGGAATTTATCATCACAGAGCATTTTTGTAGCAGTGTGTACCATAGGTGTGCATGCATAAGGATTTCCAGATATTTTTTGTTAGAATTCTGAATCTCAGACCAATGTGCGTGGGTACCCTTCCTTGTGACCTCCTGGCTCTGCTTTGGTTTGGATCTGACTCCAAGTCACTCCATCTTGGCCTTGGTGGTGTTTAGCATAGAGGTGTGTTTTATTAGTTTTAGGTATAAGCCTAGGAGTGCAATTGCTGGATTATATAGTTACTTTGTGTGCAGTTTTTTTTTTTTTTCACAATGTACTTTAAAAAACAATTGATCTTTTTATTTTAAGAACCTATTTAATTTATTATTATGATTGTTTTTTAGTTTGCTATCAGGCACACGTGCTCACCAGAGAGAGAGACAAAGTGAGAAAGCAAGTTGCTGGGTCCGGTACTCGAATCATAGTTGGCCACGTGGGAGTCCAGTGCCTTAACTACCATACCACCTGCTGGCTCTGATCTTCTTAATTTTAAGGTAAATACACTTGTAAGAAAAATACAGAGATGTTCCCTGTGCCCTTTAGCTGGTTTATAGCAACAGTAGTATTTTGGGGAACTGTACTATAGTATGACAGCCAGGATAAGGGCATGGCTAGCATGAGAACACTAATATTGTGATCAACACAAGGATCCCTTATGTTGGTCCTTTATAGTCACGCACACTTCCTCTCCCCCTCACCAACTCCGTAACCCCTGGGAACTACTAATCTGATCGCCACTGATGTCATGATTTCAGTAATAGCAAATATCCTTTTGGGATAAGTCTCTGTCTCTCTCCATGTAACTCTCTAGAGATTCATCCAGATGGTTGCCTGTATCAGTAGCTCTTTCTTTTTTATTGCTGAGTAATATCCCACGGCACATACGTATCAGATTGTTTAGCCAGTCACCCTTTGGAGGCCATCTGGATTGTTTGCAGGTTTTGTCTATTACAGTGAAAGCTGCTATCCACATTAACGTACAGGTTGTTCTGTGACCATAAGTCTTCCTTTCGCTGGGAAAAATGCCCAGGTGTGTGCTTTTTGAATCATATGGCAGTTGCATGTTTAGATTTTTAAGAAGCTGCTACACCATTTTCCAGAATGGCTGGGCCATTTTATTATATATTTCTCCCAGCAGTATATGACGTTTCTCCATTTTCTCACTAGCAGTGGGTGTTACTGTTTATTTTAGCTGTTAAGCTACTTATCAGTCATCTCAATGTCTTTAAAAGAGAATTATTTATTTATTTATTCATTCATTCACTTATTCCAATTTGATCAGACAGACACACACACACACAGACAGGGAAAGTGAGAAAGCAAGCCACTAGGTCCGGGACTTGAACTATGGTTAGCCATGTGGGAGTGTCCAGCACCTTAGCCACCACGCCACCTGCTGGTCCTGCAGTCATCTCATTTTAATTTGTGTTACTTTACCCTGCTGGTCCTGCAGTCATCTCATTTTAATTCGTTACTTTAATGGCTAATGATGTTGGTTATCTTTTTGTGGGTTTATTTGCCATCTATGTGTCCTCTTTGGTAAGAAGTCTCTTTAGGTCTTTTGTTGTGTTTTAATTGGATTGTTGTTTTTGTTTGTTTGCATGTTGTTGAATGTCAAGTTGTCCTTTGTCAAATATGTGGTTTACATTTTCTTCCATTTCATGATTTGTGATTTTATCCTTTTAACGGAGTCCTTTACAGAGCCAAATTTTTAAATTTTTGCAAGGTCTTATTTATCAGTCTTTATGTATGTATGTATTTAGCTGCCGGAGGGTGTCAGGACTTGGCAGGAGAATACCCTAGTGGGCTGTGGTCCTGTTGCAATCCCTTCTCCATTTCTGCATCCTATTGGGGTTTCGAGTTTGCATACACATGTGCCTGATATATCTTTTCTTTTTTTAAAAAAATTTTTTCCGAGAGCTGTTCTTGCTATAGGGCATGTGCACTCTCTGAAGACAGAGAGATAGAGAGAAAGTGAGAAATCACCCCCCAGTGGCCATGGCCATGCCATAGTCTTTTCTCTTCTATTCACTTCTTGGGATTTGGGGCATGCATGCACACATGCCTGGCCTGGTGTGAGTTTCAGGCTTCCAAGTCTGGGACTCAAACCGTGGTTGGTCATATGGGAGTCCAGTGCTACGACCATTATGCCATCTGCTGGCCCCTGCTTGGTATGTTTTTCAAGCCATTGGGACTCAGACCATGGCCGGCCATGTGGGATCCCATAACCAGCCCCAGTTTTTCTGTGTGTGGACTTAGATTTTGCATCAAGTCCAAGAAGTCATCGCCTATCTCCAGATTCTGAAGTTTCCTCCTGTTTCTTTTCTTTACATTTTTTTTGTAAAAGTTTTATCATTTTATGTTTTATATCTAAGCCCAGGATTTATTTTGAATTAATTTTTGTATAAGACATGAGGCCTAGGATGTTCATTATTTTGCCTATGGATATCCAATTGCTCTGACACTATTGGTTGACAAGATAATCTTTCTCCCATTGAATTTTTGCACCTTTGTGCGAAAATCAGCTGGATGTACTTGTGTGGTGGTTTTCTATTATAAAGGCCTATTGCTGTTTGGTCCAACAGGTGGTGTGGTAGTTAAGGTGCTAGACTCCACATGGCTAACTGTGGTTTGAGTCTCGGACCTGGTGACTTGTTTTCTCACTCTCCCCATCTCTCTCTATCTCTGTGTCTCTGATGAGCACACGTGCCTTATAGCAAAATTAAGTAGTAATAATCATGGGGCCAGTAGGTGGAATGGTGGTTAAGGTGTTGGACATTTCCACATGGCTGACCACAGTTCAAGTCCCAGACCTGGTATCTTGCTTTCTCACTATCCCCCTCTCTCTATGTCTTTCTCTGGGTCAAATTAAGATAAATGAATGGGGACCAGCAGGTGGCATGGTGGTTAAGGCACTGGGTGCTCCCACATGGCTGACCATAGTTCAAGGGGAGCGATTTTTCACTCTCTCTCTCTCTCTGTATCTCTCTAGTCAAATTAAAAATGAATGAATGAATAAGTAAAGTTAAATAAATAATTAAAAAATAAAATAACAATGAATAAATAAAATTAAATAAATCTAAAAAATATTCATAAATAAAATTAAATAATTCTTATAAAAATACAAAGTCCTACTGCTATGCACCTATCCCTCCCCTGGACCAACACAACTTTGATTACTGTAGTATATAATCTTGAAATTGGGTAGACTGATTTTTCTCACCTTAGTCTTGTTTTTTAGATTGTTTAATTCTAGTTCCTTTCCCTTTCTGTATAAATTTTTGAATACATAGTCCATATCTTAAAAAGATAGCTGGGATTTTAATTACATTCAACTTGTAGATCAATTTGGGAAGAATTGACTCCTGACTCTCATCAATGTGGTGTAGATTTCGGCATGTAAGTACTGTACGTTTTGTTAGATTTATACCTAATCATTACATTTAGAAAAGCAGTTGAAATAGTGTTATATTTTTAGCTTTGATATCTACATGTTCACTGCTAGCATATGGGATGCAATTGATTTTTTTTTTTTTTAACGAATTATTTTATTTAACTTTACTTATTTATTTATTTTAATTTGACCAGAGAGTAAGAGAGAACGAGAGAGAGAATGAGAAAGCAAGCTGCCAGGTCTGGGACTTGAACTGTGTTTGGCCATGTGGGAGTCCAATACCTTAACCACCATGCCACCTCTTGGCCCCCTACATTTATCAATTTTTAAAAATAAATATTAGGGGGCTGGCAGATGGCATAAATACATTTATCTATCTATTTATTTAAATAAATAGATACTTAAATAAATAGATAAATAAATTAAGTTAAATAATAAAATAATTCTTTTAAAAATAAAACAGTATTAGACCAGCCTTGCATCCTTGGAGTAAACTCCACTTGGTCATGACATGTAATCCTCTTCCTGTATTACCAACGTCTATACACTGATACTTGGTTAAAGAGCTCATTACTGCCTGTTGGAAGTTAATGTCCCCGCTTCCCACTTTGGCTTATTGGACATTGCCCGGGCGAGGGATTGGATGCCACATTACCACCACACACAGTGGAGATCTGACCTCCTCACTTGGCCTCTGCTGTAGGTGGGGTGGGGCGCAGTGGCTGTTTCTGGCTGGCGTAGAGCGGCTTTTGTCTAAACATGTCATCTTAGTGGCCACATTTCAGGTTCTTTATTAAGGACAGCAGCTTTCGTCCTGCCCCTGTTGCTGTTCCTGGGTCGCATGTCTGGGCTGTATGAGGCGAGGAGAAAGCTCTGAGTCCTCACACCTGTCCCTGGCCGGTCTGCCTTCCTCTCCCCACCCTTCCGAGTCTTAGGCTGGTGTTCTACACAACACCCTGGGTGTCTAGTCATACTTCATGTTGGCCAGAGGAAGTCCTCCATCTTCCCAAGGGGAAAAGTGAAGTCTGATTTTTAGCTCAGAAAGCCCAGGATCTACATGATTTTTTCTTTTAATAATTATTTAATTTTATTGGTTATTATTATTATTTTAATTTGACCAGAGAGAGAGAGAGAGAGAGAGAGAGAAAATGAGAAAGCAAGTTGCCAGGTCCAGAACTCAAACCACAGTCGGCCATGTGGGAGTCCAGCGCCCCCACCACCACGCCACCTGCTGGCCCGTACATGACGTTTTAACATGTACCTCTCAGTAGCCTCTACTGACTCTGGTTTCTGTCTCTTCACAGGTCTGGAAAGCTTTCTGTTCTCCCTGCCTTGGCTACCCAGAGCACAGACGGTTCCTGTGCTAGGACTTCCCGCACGGCTTAGTCTGCCTACCCCTCTGGTGAGTTAGAACATTTTCTCGTCCTTGTTATCTATAAGCCAATGGCCTTCATCAGGTTTGGTCCCTGAGCATCGTGGCCAGAGGACAGCTGGTTACTGTGGTCAGGCCTGCGTGTTTGCATTTGGGTGACAGGAAGGTGGATGGAGTTGTTCTTGGTGCCGGGGAAACCAGGCTGCCCTTAGTGTCCAGCTAGTGTGACCTAGAGGGACTGCAGGGCCTGTGGCTCAAAGTCCCAGCTCTGGCTTCTCCTGTCTGCTCCGAGAGGTCCCAGTTGTCATGCTCATGCCAGATTCAGTCATATGACTGCAAACAGGAGTGGTGGAGACACTCTGAGCACCGCTCAGACCAGGGGTGAGCCTGCTGCTGACCAGAAGGAAGGACAGAGGGAGGCCTGGCATGCCCTGTGTGCCCTCTAGCATGAAGACACACCCTGAGCTCCTTGCCTAGTGCCCAGTGGCCCACACTCTGCTTCACTGGTATCCCTTCACTGGTGATCTGTGCTTAAAACCTGCACTTGCTGAGTCCTCATTAACATCCCTGTACTGCTGCCTCCATGCGGAAAGTGCAGCCACCGCCATTCTCAGGTGAAGGCAGGCCCTTCGCAGTCGGTACTTGATCACTCTCACAGGGTCACTGAGCGGCTGCTCCCGGCCTGGCTGGCCACATGTTAGGGCTGTTGGTGCAGGACTCCTAGCCTGACCCCCTGTCCTGGGGACCTTAAAGGCAGATACTTGGAGTCTGGACCTCTTGGGCGGTCTCTCAACACTTTTGTCATTATTGCCGTCCTAATAAGCCATTATGAGACATTTTTCCCTAGCTGCCCCCTCAGTGAGACCTCAGTACCATGGAGATGGTGTGTATCTGTTAATGCCTTGTTTGTATATCTGCGCTTCATCCTCCGTGGCCTGGTGAGAATGTCTGTCCAAGATTATGAGCACAAGACAGGAATGAGGCACGTCCCAGTACCTCCTGGTCCTGGTCCCCCGTGGCTTTGGGGGGGCACCTGCTCTCTGGACTTGCTGCTTCCAACGCCGCAGCCTACCAGCTCTGTCTAAAATCTACTTTGAATCTTCCCACTCTCCATATCCCTCCCTTCTCTGCATCCCAGCGTCCCTCCAAGTCTTCAAGCCCTGTCTCTAGCTTCTGTAGTTTCCTTCTTCCATCTCTTGTGGGAAGGGGTTCTCTTGAGCAGGGGGTGGCACGTGCTCCCACCATCCCCAGCATCCTGGCCAAGTAGGCAGAGACCTATGCTAGTCACTTTCCCGTTAGGCTCACAGTTCTGGCTCTCTGGCCAGCTCAGTCACAAGGTGTCAAGTTTACGTCTGTGAGAATGTGTGGTTCTAGGGAAGATGGTAGTCTGCCCCTCTGTTTGGGGGTCAGCAGCAGGCTCAAGAGGGGAGCAGATTTGTCCCTGTTCACAGGACAGGAGTGAGTGCATGCCCAAGCACTGACTTGAGCCACAGGACATGAGGCAAGCAACTAGACATGAATGTGGACTTCCGTGGGGTGTGAACTTGGGACCTGACATTAGTGAGCTGGTAGCAGGAGGCAGAGCTCAGAGCCCACTGGGCTGCGTGGGTTTCATCATCTAGAATAGCACCTGCATCAGGCCAGCTCACTGGCCACGTTCTGGCTAGCTCGCAGCACCTCGAGCCTCTGTGAGCCTCGGTTTGTACCAAGCTCTTCTTATCTCCTCCAGGGACTTAAGTGAGGAAAGGACACTTGGACCAATTGAATTGAACTTTTGCTTGTTACCACAGTGAGATCTGTGGAGCCAGCTGGTGACATGGTGGTTCAAGTGGCTGGGTCCCACGCGGTGACTGTGAGCTCCTGAGTCCTGGACCTGGTGTTGAGAAACATGCTAATTCCAAAAGGAGAGAGAGATGGAGGAGAAGGAATTGCAGCGTGACCATTCCCCCCGGTGCTGTTTCTCTCTCCCTTGTACTCATTCTCTCTTTCCAGTGAGCACAAATACCCTCTGGGAAATTAAAAAAAAAAATAAAGCAAAACAAACAAAAAAAAACTAGTGAGGTCTGGTAACCGTATTTGAAAAGGCTCTGGATCCTACATGACGAGCCAGTCTGGGCAGCTCATGGCGGCTGAGAGTGAGTGCATTTATTTTTGGTTCCTAGCCAGGGCTCTCTACCACTCAGTCAGTGGTCTCCAGGGAAGGGGAGCTGCTCTGGGGAGTTCTGTTCATGGGGGTGATTAGTCTCTAAAAGAACCTCCCAGAGCCTCTCAACTGGGAGAAGGAGCTTGCTGATGTGTGGGAGGTGGTGGGCTTTCTTCTCTGGGATGTGTCTCCTCTGGGAGCCCCCCCCGGCAG